ATTATATATACTTTTCATGTTGAAAGATGCTTTGTACTCTTCAAAGAAACTGAGTGTGCTGCATACATAGGTCTATGTCAACTTGACACAAAAGCTAGTCCTTTTAGATGAGGAAACCTCAGCTGGGGAAATGCCCCCATCAGATTGGCTTGTGGGGCATTTTCTTGATGATTCATGTGGGAGGGCCCATTTCACTGTGTGTAGTGCCACCCCTGGGCTGGTGGTCCTGGGTGTTATCAACAAGCAGGCAAACTGTGAAGCAGCACCCCTCCATGGCCAGCCTCTGCTTCAGTTCCAGCCTCTAGGTTCTTGACCTGAGTTCCTGCCCTGACTTCCCTCAGTGATGGACTAGAAGCTATAAGATGAAATAAACCCCTTTCTTCCCAAGCTGCTTTTGGTCATGGTGTTTATCACAGCAACAGAATCCCTAAGACAATGAGTATTTAAAGGTGTGCATGCTTAGTAAACATTGCTTACTGGATATTTCAGTAATACTATCTTTAAAACTGAGTTGGAAAGTTACTGTTTTATTATCTTTTGAGCTTTTCCCTTTACTATTATCACCACCAGTTAAATATTGCATAACAGGAGATACTGAAGTAAGCAAAAGAGATATTAAAAATAGACCATGATCTCTGTTCTCAGGCAGCTGACAGGTGGGTTAAGGAGTGTCAGTGAATTAAACAAAATACATTGCCTTATATATCAGACAATATTATAAGGTTCAAGGGTAACATACATTGCAGGCCAATTAATCTGGCATTAATACTTTGGTAGTATAGGTTAGAAAGGCAGAGAATACCCTAGAATGTGTATTTATTATAAGATCATTGTGCGTTCTTCCAGGAAAAAGCAGCAATTGCAGGTGGGGGGGGGGTCTGGGAATTGAAGAGTTACATGATAAACTTGTGTTCCTTTCTGATATTTTCCTCTTTTAAAATTTTTATTTCCTAATGGTGCTGGGGATGTTGGCGTGTCAGGTAAGCACTCTATCTCTCAGCTACATCCCCAACCCCGTGGTTCTCTCCTAATGATTGAAGTTCATCTTTACAGTTTAGAGAATTGAGAATTCGCTTGTGACTTAGAGGCTCCCATGGGCTCTCACGCCAGTGCACAGCTTCTTTGGGCTTTGCTCTCAAGGACCCGTTACCCATCCTTTTCACACTCTTCTACTTTAGAGTTCTGTGGATGGGAAATTCAGAGAGCAAACTCTGGTCACTTTGTCCTTGTCTTGGCCTCTTAATTGAATGTATAGGTTCTCTTTTTTTTTGAATAGTTAAAAATAATAACTAACACTGATTTTGTTTCTGACTGGCAGTAAACCAATGCTTTGTGAAGAGGCAGACAATACACCATTCTCTTCTATTTTAAGCTTGCTTTATCTATCTATCTATCTATCTATCTATCTATCTATCTATCCATCCATCCATCCATCTATCTATCTATCTATCTATCTATCTATCGTTCTAGATCTCTCCATATAGCCTAAGCTGACCTTGAACTAGCAGCAATTCTCCTGCCTTAGTCTCTCCAGGGCTGAGATTATACATATAAGTTACCACAACCAGATCTCTTCAACTTCTTTCAGCTTATGGTAAAATTCTTCGAGGGGCAATGTGAAAAATATTTCCTCAAATTTTTGTACTCTTACTGCCCATAGCACAGAGAATTCCCAATAAGATCTGTGATGATAGCACAGATCAACCCCAATGATCAGCTTATTACTTTGGTTGGTATATCTGTTTCCTCATCAGTTTCTAGAACAAATTTAGAAAAAAATTCATTGTAAAAGCCCACAGTGTCACCATCTAGTAGTGTCCAGCAACCAGAAACGGGCTTTGAAAGACACTCAAGTTACTTCATACAGTACATCTCAAATATTCTGACAACAATGAAAATGACAGTCTATAAATAAACAATTCACAACTAAGTTTAAAGCCATCTGAATGAACAGTTAAGACTCTTCTCAGTGAGGTAACAGGGTAGTAGCATTTCACAGTAACAGAAGGTAGAAGGATGCCCAGGAAAGAGGGAGGTAGAGCAAGGAAAGTGAGAAATCAAATGTGTCCAAGTGGAAATTGTATTTTTCAAGCTTTACGAATATCAGTGGAAAGTCTGAAAACAGCAGCAGAAGCAGCATTGCTGACTTCACAGGAGACTCCCACTTACATCTCTGTTGTATCAATTCCATAAGCATCTTGATGAAGAAATGGTGGGGAGTGGGTCTATTTGCTACATGCAGACATCACAAAGTATCCAATCTCTTGGACTCTCTCTTAAGTTACTATATCCAAATGATACTTCATATTTGGAATAAATCTTAAATATCTTATAAAGCTGCCCATTCTCCCAGATGAACACAATTGTATTCAAGTCTCATACAGCTTGCAAATTAAAGAGAACACCCATCACTGCACCCATGCATCTCCCATTCAAAATATATACAAGTTATTGGTGAGCTAAACTCTAGATATGGGGTGAAATGAAAAAGTTACTGATAGTGCTCTATACATAAGTCTTGTTCCAACCTGATTCTTAAAAATGTGTTTGAAGGAATCTTTAAACTGCCATTAATATTTCAAATATTAGTCCATCAAAAATAAGGTTTCAAATAGGTTTTATGATCACTTCTACCCAAGAAATTCTACCCTCTTAAACATTTTACATTGTCCGTTCATTTCTGACCATTACATACATGTACAGAATGAATTATGATCATAGTAACCCCATGATCCTTCTCTTAACCCTCTCCTACCCATTTGACTCACTTTTCAACTAGCTCCCTTCTGTCTCCTTTTCATGTTCTTACAATAGGTATTGTTTAGTTTTTTTTTTTAAACAACCTTATTCCCTGTGGTATCTTCACTAGAGATAATCAGGGTACCATTAGTGCTTCTTACTTTGATACATTTCGCAAAAATCCCAATGAATAATTTATGATTTGGTAGATGAACTCAATAGCTCTTTGTTTCACAGTCTAACAACCTTAATTCCTTGAACTCTTTCTTGGAGGTTATACTTTCCAATCTTGGTTTTATTTCTTTTAATTTTGTTTTTTATCTTCTCTCGTTCTCACATGATTCTGAAACAACATCCCACTGGGAACTGAACCCACAATTCATTTGATCCTCATCTCCTAGAACTGAGGTTCTTCTTTCTAGTGATCACTACTGAAGGAAAACAATACAGGCCTGCTGTCTGTGCATCCTAACACACACAAGTGAACAGCCTCGCACGCAGTTTACCCCCATGACAGCTTATGTTTGTACTTCTCAAGCACTGCTTAGACCACCATTACTGGCCTTTATATATACTGTTTGTTGGTCTATTGTTGGTTATTTCCACTTTATGATTTGGCTTTGCACCATCAATAATATCATTTCTCTCTCTCTCTTTTTTTGTATTGTCAGGGATCAAATGTAAGCTTTGCTTTATCTGCATGCTAGGTAAGTGCTTTACCACTGGGCTATGTTCCAGCCTAATTCTTTTTCCTCAGAACTCCAGAAAATACTCGTTTTGATTTATTTGCTCAAAGAGAATATACTCCCATACTATTGCTGAAAAAAGGGGAAGAGATAAACAATGTAGTTATCACCCCAAGGCTGAGACTCACAGGCTGTCATTCCTATCTTGAGCTGTTGTTAAATTTATCCTGTTAGGCACCTGTGCACCCATTGTGTCAAGTTCATGTTAAACGTGCTCAGACAGACTCAAGAATGTAGACAAAAATCAAACAGTCTCCTCAACTTACACACTCTGGAAACCTGTATACATAGTTGGAACTTAGCTTTTCAAGGTAAGAGCTCAAATGTCAGTAACTTCACTTCAATATGACTTATTTCTTGTATATGCTAAAGCACTGATACAACAATATTCTCTTCATAAGTGAATGGCAATCATGATGTGGCTTTCTTGCTATAAATAGGCTGTCACATCACTTTAGTTTCATTTTGTCCTTGGGCCACTGGGACACAGACACTAAAACTGAATATGTATGTTTTTCCATGTATAGCTTTGATTATACCACTTTGTAGAATACATGCTATTTCCTAAACTACAATTTACACTCCTAAAAGCCAATAAAATGTTTTAAACATTTTAAAAATAAAACAAAAAATTCTATACACTACTTCTTTAGCACTACTTCTTTAGCACTTCTTTAAAATAAATTCATACAGAAAAATGGCACTGAACATTAACTAGCTATCATCTATGTCATGTAGGACCCAGCTCTAAGACAGTAAGGAAGGAACACGGAGCAATAGTGGCAACATAATGTCAAACCTATGCTTGGAGTATATAAGCTCAACCAAAATCATCCTCAAGCTGCAACAAACCAAACGATGGCTTAATTAACATTCTAATCAGCTTATGCTTATACTATTTATTTTTAGGAAAACAAATCATCTAACGTCAGTGCTGTCACCTACAGGCAACTTTTCTTAAATGATTACACCTGAAGGCCTTGCTATTGTTATCATAACTATAATATGTATATTCTATAAACTATATAGGGAAATACAGAATTTGGGACGCTTGGACAATAATATTTTTCTATTAGGGGTTTTCAGAAGGCTAGAGAGTCAACCACAAATGACTTTCCTAAAAACTGTTTTACATTGAAAAAAGTGAAAAGTATTTATATGATCAGAAATTCCAAAGCCAGCAACATACTAAAATAAATTGACCTTAGTTTTAAACATCAGTTTCAGTATTTCATAATACCTAAAATTTCCCATCCAAGCACCATGCTTAGCCTTGTTTAGCTTCTGAGATAAAATGAGATTGGCTATGAATCAAGGTGGTATGGCTGTAGAAAATACTTATTACTTGATGTTTCATTTCTTATTAAAATTAGCATTACCTTATCAGATAAAATAAATTTGGCTATAAAAATGTAATTCAAAAAGACTGCCAAATAAATGCCATACTGATTCCACAGGACAGTTTTCACTTATAGGTTATGATAACTGAATCCTAGCATGAAGACTCAACTACAGTTACATTAAGCCAAATTTTATTAAGACTTTTTTCTACAACCATCTTTAGAATCAACAAATCTGTTTCCTATAGAGGAAGCACCTATATAGTTTGGAAGATTTCCCTTAACTATCTGAAAATGGACTGACGGAATCATATTCAATGCAGGAACATTGTTTCAGTACACACTAGACCCTGAGAATGCACTGAGGAATTTGACAAGAATAAAGCTATGAGGAGTGCTGCCACTACTGTTTCATGTTCAGTAAACATCAGTCTTAAATACATACAGTAAATGTACACCACACCAAGGGCACCTGAATCAGAGGTGCAGAACCACAGACTGTAACATCTGTCCTAAATCAGAAAACCTAAATAAACTATCAACATGTTTTCTTTTCTTTCTTTTTTTCTTTTTTGGAGACAGAGAATTACTGTGCAGTCCAGGCTGGCCATAAAGTCCTCCTGCCTCAGCCTCCTACGGTCTGTAATGACAGGAATATGCCACCAAGCTGGGTTTCTAGTTTGAAAAACAGTATCTACAACATAAGAACTTTCCAACCCTGGGCAGGAACAGTGCTCCCAGCCACACACACACCTTTAAGAAATAATTTCCTTAACTAATCCTATAGTTATATAATGTTTGACTTCTTTTAAACCATGCCATACACAATTACAAGCTACGTAACTAAGCTTAACCACAGTTCAATAAGAAAACTCACTTTTGTATTTTTGTGATACAGGAGAAACAGCGTGCCACTGGAACACTTCCATTGTAATAACTGTCATTTAAGACTACGAAAATATCTGACTTATATCCAAACATTTTCATTTCAAATGTATATAATCTACTTAGCCAGCTGAACACAGGAAAGAAAAGGGGAACGATAACTTGGCAGATGAGAGAATTCTAACACAAGGTTCACTGAGTGGAGTTCTTGGAGGTTTCATTCCATATGTCAGTGCAAAGTCATAACAACGTACTGATGTGCCCTACACAGAACGCCAGATCAGTGCATTCTTACTGGGCTCAAGAAAATTCTCTATCAGAGCGTCAATGAGTTTCTTCAATTCTTCTTCCAGTAAGGTAGTGTCACTGAGGGGAAAAGACAAAGAAATTTAAAATTCTTATTTTCATAGCCTTAACATTTATTTAAATCATTTCCACTTTTAAGGAAGGCACATCTCTGATAGGACAACTAAATAATTGTCAAGCAAAATAGAAATTCATCCAGCTGAAATAAAACAAAAGAAGACTCTTTAAAAATTCATATACAAAACAACAATCACAAGCTAAAATTGAACTGCATTACTAGGTGTCTTCTGGCCCATGATAAAGTATGAGTTCATAATGGCCAATGAACTTTCCTAGGTTAATCAATTTAATAGCCCAGAACAACAATAGCAGGTATTATTTAAAAATGAGATACTGAAGGAGATTCAGTATAGAAGATATGGAACAATACTACATATCTTTCAGGTATCAGAAAGCAGCCCTGGCACTCACTGGGAAGGCAGAGGCAGGTGATCTCTGTGAATTTGAGTCCAGCCTGGTCTATATAGAGTTCCAGGCCAGCCAGGGCTATATAGTGAGAGCTTTTGTCTTAAAGAAGAAGAAAAAAAAAAGGGCTGGAGAGATGGCTCAGTGGTTAAGGGCACTGACTGCTATTCCAAAGGTCCTGAGTTCAATTCCCAGAAATCACATGTTGGCTCACAACCATCTGTAATGGGATCTGTTGCCTTCTTCTGGCGTGTCTGAAGACAGCTAAAGTGTACTCATATGCATAAAATAAATAAATCTATAAAAAAGAAAGATACTCTTTTTTAAAAAAGAATAAGGTGTTTATTAAAAAAATAACTATACATTTTCAAGTATTCCCTATGAATCATCACTGAAACACTGCTACAGGCCAGACATTTCTAGAGAAGCTTCTAGTACCCACTTACATGGTTATTTTACAAGCCAGATAACAAATTCATTTTTATTACTTTAATAATTCCAGATTTTGACCTAAAGTTATTTGGGTAATTTTAAATTCTGTTCCAAACATAAAGAGGTCCTTTTCCTCTCTAGTAGAAATACAATTTTAGTACATGGGTACAGGGAAATACAAACTAAAACACACTAGTTGTGTTCTGAAGACAATTAAAGAAATCATCCCCAAAATTCACTGGTCAATGAATGACATAATCAAAAGAAATACTTTTAAATAACTTTTGGTATTTTTATTAAAAAGATCAACAAATCTGTGACAAACTGAACCCATAGTTTTAGAAAATGAACTGGTAGATTATGTAAAACCATGGCAGATAGAAAAAAACAAGATTTAACATATCATTTCTTTATACTAAATCTCAGTCTTCCCAAGAAAGAAATTCACTACAATTTTGAAATTCAATTCCCAGTGATATAGCTTCTTTGGGAAAGAATCTGGCAGTTTCTCAAAGGGTAAAACATAGTTATCTTAGGGCCCAGCAATTCTATTTCTACATATATATCAAAAAAAAATGGAAGTACACGCCATACAAACTCAATCACAACTGCTCATAATTGTACAATTCTTGATAGTGTAAGAAGTAACAGTCTACATGTCCACTGACAAGTGGATTTAAAATCACGGTACAAGTCATACAGTGAATATTTGGGGAACAAGAATGATTTTAGCCACTAAGGACCACATAATGTATTTCATTTATATATAAAATGTCCTGTTATGGGTTGAATCTGAAATGTTCCTTACAGACTCAGGTGTCATATATGCTGTCTTCAGATACTGGTGCTATCTGGGGTAGAATGTACCTGAAGGAAATAGGTCCCTGGGGCTATGCTTTTGAAAGTTTTACCTGATCTCTTCTTCCTCCACATGTGGCATTATGTTCATCTTTGTCTTGAGTCCAGACAACTGTGAACCAAAACCTCAAAAAGCATGACCCCAAATAAATCCTCCCTTCCTTCTTTTAAAGTGCTGAAAACATGAAGAAAAACCAGCATAAGCAGATCTACAGGAAAGGATGGTGGATCAGTGACTGCTTAGGGCTGGAAAGGACTTTAAAAGAACTCTCTTTGGAGTTATAAAAATGTTCTAAAGTTGATTGTAGTGATGGTTACACAGCTCTAGATATATTAAAAACCATGACTTTTACACTGATAAGTTGTATCTCAATAAAGCTTCTACATATCTCTATATATGCAAAAGGATCAATTCTCACCTCTGGCCAGGTGACGCACACATCTCTGCATAATACTTTATCTTCGGTTCTGTCCCACTCGTTCGAAGAGTAGCAACACAGCCATTTTGAAAAGTAAATGTAATCATTTGGCTGTTTTTACTCACAGGCAGTACCTATGCAAAATGCAACAGTTTACACCTATAGCTTCATTTTCAAGAACTATAAAATACATTATACTTACATGAAGTAGCTAAGGTGTCTAAGTCATAGAAACAAAGAAGACTGGTGGTTGCCAAGAGCTCGGAGATGGGTGTGTAAAGTTGTCTAATGAGTACAGAATTTCAATTTATCAAGGGTAAGTTCTAGAAGTCTGTTGTATAATAATATAAGCATACTGTATGTTTTGAAATTTAAGATGAAAAAAGAGGACATAAATTCCTGAGGGAGATGGGTTGGTGGATCCCAGAGGGAGTTGGAAGGAGGGAGTGGGGGTGGATAAATCAAAATACATTGTACACATGTATGGAATTTCCAAAGAATACAAAAATTATTTAAAATGGGTAAGATGTAAGCATGGATTAAATACATTATTAGAATACTGAAACAACATATGAGCCATTACATATGAAAACTTAAGCTAACGGTTATTATCATAATTACAATAAAGTGAATATAAGAACTTATCATGTCAGTATCTATTGAGCATCTACCACAGAGGTAGGAGCTTGGAGAGGCATCGAGGAAATGGACCTGCCACGTGCAATGCAGCAGTGACATAAGTAGATATCACCCAAAGAAGGTTACATAATGACTCATTACGTAAAAACTGATTATGGAATTCCTAAGGAAGATGGGACATTTGCCTTAAGTCTTAAGCCTCAAGCATTTTAGGTAAGGGTCCTGTCAACATCAGCTCTTGCCTTATTAAACCTTAAGTAATGGTGAGGTATAAGCCTACAGCAGAAAGGAGAAAAGGCAAACTGGGGCAAACAAGTTGACCCAAAAACACAGAAAAACCTTAAGGCATGTGTATTTAAGAAGTCATCAGTTCCTCTATTTGTCTAGAGGTATGGAGAGTCGGGTTGAAGCATGCTACCATTAGAAAGCAGCAGGGCTCTGAAATCAGCCCTTAGACCTCATCCTACATCACTCATCACCACTGCACATTCCCTCTCTCACTTCCTCTCTTCCTTGTCCTCGTCTCCACGCCCACTTTCCCTCTGCACCAGCAGCACAGATGGTTATTTGGAGAGTGGTAAGTATCAAGTCAAAGAGACCAGTTAGTGCACTTGAAAACACTCTAGCACAAAACAACAGGTCCTACCATCAAGACACTAGAGGCCACTCTTTTACTATACCATGAATTATGACACTGTTCAAAAGAAGTTTTTTTTTATTGCTGTTGTTGTTGGTTTTGTTTGTTTTTTAAAGAGGTGTTTGCCAGGGGCTTCAACTTCTAGCTGAACACACAGAATGCTGGGAAGGTAGTACACCTGGAGAGTGCTTAGAACAGCTGTTCTTTATCTGTGGGTTTTGAACCTTTCAGAGTTCACATATCAAATATTTACACTGTGATTCATAACAGCAGCAAAATTATAGTTACAAAGTAGCAACAAAATAATTTTATGGTGTGTGTGGGGGGTCACCACATGAGGCTGTATTAAAGGGTTGCAGCATCAGGAAGGCTGAGAACTAGTAGCTCAGAAGGTTTTTCCCAGGCCTCCATTTGTAGACCCTTGCCTGTATGTCTCTTCCATCTGGCTGCTTGTAAACTAACCATTGCAAACTAGTAAACATGATGGTTTGCATCTTACGTGAAACTTACTGGAGCTTTAGATTATTTTTGGTGTCTTGAGTCATTAAAATTTCTTCATTGTTTGTAAAAAAGATAAGGTACTTACTGATTTCTTATTTGGCTGGCTGCTATCATATCCAGTGGTTATGTCCCGTACATGCAAAATAGCAAATGCCCCACAAAACTTTGGATATTCCTTTGGAGACTCAAAATTGCGAATCCTTTCAAATATGGTTTTGATGGTAGGTGGATCATAACACAAGAAATATGAAGTTTTTGACAAGTGATAACCATATCTGCACAAAGATTTAAAGCTAAAGTCAGATTCTAGGTAACTTTTGGGACACGTGCATATTAAAGATAAGCCAACATAATATTTTATAGAAAGTGATACTGAAAATATTAATAGTAAAAAAATATAGTCAGGAAGTGATGGCACATGCTTTAACTCCAGCACTCAGGAGGTAGATGCAGGCAGATCTCCATGAGTTAGAGTCCAGTCTGGTCTACAGAGTGAGTTCTAGGACGCCCAGGGCTGCATAGAGAAACCCTGTATTAGGAAGGAAGGAAGGAAGGAAGGAAGGAAGGAAGGAAGGAAGGAAGG